ACTAGTCACTAGTGTACTGTAGTTATATAACTAGTCACTAGTGTACTGTAGTTATATAACTAGTCACTAGTGTACTGTAATTATATAACTGGTCACTAGTGTACTGTAGTTATATATCTAGTCACTAGTATACTGTAGTTATATAACTAGTCAATATATAGTGTAGTGTAGTTGCATAACTAGTCACTAGTGTTTTGTGGTTATATAACTAGTCACTAGTGTACTGTACCTATCTCCCCCTACCGGGTATTTTGAGTGGTGATGTGACCTATCTCCCCCTACCGTGTATTTTGAGGGGTGATGTGACCCGCCTCCCCCTATCGGGTATTTTGAGTGGTGATGTGACCTATCTCCCCCTACCGGGTATTTTGAGTGGTGATGTGACCTGCCTCCCCCTACCGGATATTTTGAGTGGTGATGTGACCTGCCTCCCCCTTTAATAGATTTCTTGGTATTTCGAGTGGTGATGTGACCTATCTCCCCCTACCGAGTATTTTGAGTGGTGATGTGACCTGCCTCCCCCTTAAATAGATTTCACTTTGTTATATTTGTCTAGGTTTCACATCCACCCCCAGATCCAGTAGTCAGACACACTGAAGAAGAAACCAAACCTCATCCAGTCACGAAGCGTGAAAAACCTGGTAAGTCAACGCTGACACTTATGTTACTAACTATAGTAAGACATGTCAATGTACCTCTCTGCTATTGTAACCTTAACCTAATTGTTAACATACACCACTTAGCAAAGTTCTATGGTAGCATCAGTAATGATCGTAAAAGTCTTCTTTGCTCTGATATACATGTATTTCTTTTTGTTACACCTGCCTTAGCAACCCCTTATAGCGACTGTATTTAAACAAACCACAAAAGAACACTGTATAGTTTCCACCTGTACAATGTTACCAGTGACTGGCTGTTTTGGTCCCAAATTGACCTATATGTAAAGCTATAACATTAAAATTGAATTGATATCAAACTTTGTACTTTTAGCAGTGGGTACCTTGTCATACAGCACTAGTCACTGATGTAGATCTGTTGTCAAACTCATATTTATATCAGCACCTTTATACTCATATCCCTAACATTGTTTACTTCTATAGTAGCTACTAGTAGTATAAAAGCACATTTTTCTCAAAATGCTGATTGCCTGTTTAACCAACAATGAATATCGATTAGCATCATGTTGTCTCTAGAGAGGAAATCAAAACAATTTAGTAATTTTCTTGTACCGTACATCATTAGAAATTGATTTGTCCAAGGGAATGAAGAAGGTACATCAGGTAATGAGAGAAAAGTGTGATTTTGAAATGACTTACTTCTTCCATGATGTTGACCATTTTATTATCTTAACAGTTAAATTTGAGGGGGGAAATTTTAAGTCGAATGTGAAAATCCTGAAGAAATGTTCAGTCATGGGAGAAAGAGGTTTGTTGCTTGTGTTGAAGGGTTTCACAGGTTCTCCTCTGTCTCACATAAACATGGAATCCATTTTTGAAAATTATCGATAATCCTCGGTATTCACAAGTAATTTCATCTGATGAAACTTTGCCTACAGTAGTATTACTAAGGTAGGAAAGGTGTTTTGTGTAGGGACATCTTGACGAGACGTTGGGAGAAGCTGCGTGACTGATGGTGGTGCGTTTGGTGTACAGTGTAGGTGTGTATAGCTTGCATGTTTGATTTGCTCAACAGGTGTGCATGACCTTACCCCCATTCCAGCACCCCGCCCATCCCAAGCATGTAGCCCCACCCCTCAGCCCAGAACTTATTACACTTCAGACTCCTATCCTGGGGACAAGGGCTCCCACAACTCAGACAAAAGCAGTCAGGAGAGCTCCCATACAGATCTGGAGGGGAGGGAAGGGGTGGAGGCTCAGGATAGCTGGGTCAATATCTTGTTTAGTGAGCAGGGATCAGATGATGAAAATGACAACAGAGAGGTGCAGTTTGAGCGTCTTGTGAAAAAAGAGAATGAGTCAGATGTAGATAAGGAGACAAACCAGATACAAACAGATGATGTGATACAAGAAGGTGAAGAAATAAGTAACCAGTACCCATCCTACACCATCCGCTGTGGTCTGGATAAACTATCCCTCATGCAGCTCACACAAACAAAGGACTTGACCGAGGAGACACTGATAGAGTACGCAGATGTGGAAGTGGATGAAGAGAACAAGGAGAATATGATGTCAGGGAGATGTGTATCCGCCATAGCATCACTTGGGAGTGGAGGGAGTCGTACCTCAGTCCTAGTGTCAGGTAGACACAATACCAGTAATAACAACAATATACACATCAGCAATAATACAGAACTCAAGTCACACTCCAAGTCTGTCAACAGTTTAAAGTTAAATACGTCCATGGAGAAGCAGAACTTGGACAATTCTGTGTATAACACGAGAGTAGGGAGCTGGCTGTCAGATGATCACCAATCACCAACAGGCTCTGCCACCTCTGTGGCTGCAGTCTCCGGCAGAAAGAAGGAGTCGCTTTTTAAACGTGTCATCAAATTGGACATGTTTCGCAAGCGGTCCAAGTCAGTGATGCCCTACAATGGGAAGGACACAGAAGGAAAGCAAACTGAGATCTGTAAAAGACAGATACCATCACTGACAGAACTCTGCAGGAACAAGTTGACACCAGACTGCCCAGATCCAGTTCGTACTCCTCTCAAGGAGATCACAAGTTCGCATGTCAATGAAGAGCAGGATCCTGATCAGTTAGGGTGCTTTGAAGTGTCAGTGGATTCCCTTGACAGGGTAGTGGGGAGTGAAGAAGCAGCCACTAAAAAGAAGACAAATGCTATCCCAGAGATGTTCTCCGAGGACAGTGAATCACTCCTGACCATCATAATGAATCGGGACGATCTCAATAATGAGGAGGTCATCTGTAATAAGGATGAGGACGGTGTTGGAGGTCAGTGTTCTGACATTCAAAATATTGCGAAAGGCTTAGCACTGGAAGGCGACCTGTATAACCCTGCAAGAGATGATCACAGAGATAAGATAGCAAGGGACTCCTACCTAGGATCTCTCAACAGGACTGGCCAGTTGTCTCCCTTTATAAGAATGATTGCCAGTCGTTACCACTTGTTTGATCCTGTAACACAGAAATGGAAGGAGGGATACATGGATGGACCTGAGTACCTGGACTTGTCTGAAAGCTCTTCACCAGATTACCTTACTCAAGGCAGTCTCTCACCAAACTCTGCTGTGAGTCAACAGGCAAGTCCCTGTCCTGTTCCTCTGGTGGCCACATGTTCACAGGTGCCACAGGTTGAGAACGATCAGCATCATAAGGCCTCCCCTATGTTACCAAGCTATAATATACTGCCTCCTGGCTCTGTGAAAGAGAAGGTCTTCCTCTATGAGCACCTCTATGTGAATGAGCTGGTAGATCAAGTGATTGAGCGGACGATGCATGGCCTCTGTGTAGAGCAGTGTCTGGAGGAGCTGGGAAAGTCAGGCCATCACCCAGAGTTATGTCGACAATTAATGATGGAATACAGTCAGTACAGTGAAGGCACGATTCCAGCCTCTCAAAGGTCTGAGGGGGAGATATCACCTCAGGGATCAGAAGTGGAGTTATCTCCTGAGGGATCAGTAGGAGAGGTTATAACCTCTAAGGGATCTGATGGTGAGATATCTTCAGAATGTGAGGATGGCTGTATTCAGTCAAGTGAAATGTGTCAGAGTCAGATTGAGTATTCTTTGTGCTCCGCCATTACCGATGTTGTCATGGACACAGATTACGCCACAGCCATGTCTGACATGGACACAGATGGGTCCTATGTGGTGTCTACTCTCTCCAACGCAGACCTCAATACCAGCCTCCCTGAACCTGAAGACAGAGGTCAAACACCAGTAGGATTTAATGCCTCTGGGGAGTATGTAGACCTGCCAGAACAGCTGATACACTGCAGTGGCTATTATAACCACTCACACCCTGCAGTTAAGCCTTGTGATAATCCAGTACTACTACATCAAAAAAATATGGATGGTCCGTGGGTTTCGCCTGTTCACACACGACTCAGAATGGGCACAGGAGCATGTCCAAGGACGGATACGTTTCCACTCACACAGGATAGTCAGGATCTGTATACTCAGAGTTGTAGTATAGGAACCCAGACCCCAGACATTGTCGGTCGACCAACCACAGTCGACAACACCCCAACAAATAGATCAACAATCAGTTATGGGCTTGGTGTGTCTGGACACACAGAGGACCGAGCATCCTCTCCTATCAAGGAGCTACTGAGTTACGATACAACACTAGAGGACAGCTGGAATACCTCTGACCTTCTTGGGTCACCTGCCAAGGTCAAGGAAAGACCTCGTTACTCAAGCTCTCCTATTAAAACCTTTGTGGTGGAGGAAGATAAGAGAGGCAAGAGGAAGCTGGAGGATGTGAGTTACAAGCATGGCAAGGTACACTGCTCTGATGCCTGGCTGACAAGGAACCACAGTCTTCCCCGACGTGACAGAAGTAATCACTCTCTAGCATCAAGATCCTCGTCCCTGGATGTGAACACAGAGGAGACCTTCAATGTGCATGACTGTACAGAGAAAAGACGGAAACGTTTTTCCTGGAAGAAAATGTTCCAATCCAAAGTCAAGGAACCTGTTGTTCTTATCTCTTACAGGAAACGGTCAGACCAGGAGTTGGAGGAAGATCTGATAAAAGGCCCTCTAATCCTTAATGAGGAGGGAAAAGATGTCTCAATGGAATCAGGGAGGACCAAACCTCTGAACTCTGGTAATCATGCTTTGTATGTTAATCAGGTACATCAAGACCATCCATCAATATTCTATAGGACTAAGCCCTTCTCTGAGGACCTTAATACAGTGGAGACATTCTTCTCTCATGATCAGGATGAGCCCCATAGTCTTGATCAGTGCAGAACTCAAGGACCAGATATTCTCATTCAGGACAGAGTTCAGCTTTCCCAGGCTGCCCTCGAGGAGGAAGAAGGAGACGAGTCAGATGGAGAGCAATACAGTCTGTGTGACATGGAGATTGATGAGGAGGAGGAGCAGGCAAGGATTGAACGAGTTAGAGACACCAAGGGGCATTGTGGGCAGTGTGACCTTAGTGACCTTCACATCCATGGTCAGGGTATGATGTCACAAAGTACTGCACATTCAGACATACTGGACCCCAGTAAGGAGGCTTGGAGAGCTGGCCCAAGTGGATTGAACCAGAAGTCCCTGCCTGATGAGGACAGTGATGATGAAGGTGACAGTGAGGGGGTGTCCCTAGACTCGCCCAACATCAGTCCCAGTCTCGCCATTGCCATTAGGAACAACATGGTTGCCACTCCTGAATCACCCGAGATTAACCTTGACTCGTTCCTACAGGAGGCGTTACGTCCTATTGATGACCTATTGGAAGAGTCAGCAGAGGGTGTCGATCTAGAAGAGGAGATAACTCCACGAATTGACAGCCATGTTCTTCATCCTTATACTTCAGAGTTACCTGAAAAATATCCAGGTTTTACATACATCTCTCCCTCTATGGAAAACATCCTGGCTATGTATGAAGATGAGTCTCCTTACGAATCACAATATATCCAAAAGGGACAAGGGGATGTACTCGCAGCCAAAGATAGCTGTCAAGCTGAAACAGACACTAGCTCTTTGTCCCTAGAATATGTTCTGTGTCTAGAGAGGAAGTTCCAAGAGGAACTCGGTTCTGAGCTTGAATTCACACCACAAAATACTCCACTAAACACGCCACAGCACACACCGAGGGAAGATAACGTGGAAAGATATCCAAGTTTTACCTTTGTAGGAGAGGAGGTGTCACAAGCTGGCTGTTTTGGGGAAGTGTCTCTGGATTGTTGTGATAGAGAGGCAGGCAAGTCCAACCTGAGTAGCAGTGCTGAGGGACTGTATGACTATGGTGAGGACACTTTCGAGAGCTCGGACAGTGAAGAAGAAAAAGAAGCTCGGACAGTAACTGAAAAAAGAAATGTTTATGTTCCAGTAGATGATAGCGAGGAAATTGAGGAAGTCATCGAGGTGGACTGTCCCCTTCACCAGTCTACAAATGATTCATTAGGATTGGATATCCAGAGTTTTCTAGATGGTACAAAAAGTGAAGAGTCCTACTTAGTGTTTGATTCGGACACGGAGAGGGTTCCATCCTTTATCACTGAGTATGTGAACATCCCGCCCACAGACCATCACACAGATATGCTTGGAGCATGTGCTCTGCCTACACTGGAAGATCAAGTGCAGAACCTAGAAAGGGGAGATAATCAGGATAGTATGGACCCAGATTCTAGAGGGCGCTCAAGCTACTGCTTTTTAGGGCCATCAACAGAAGTGATAGAAGATAATGGACTCAGTGACAGTGGTCTACTTTTATCCTTCAGCTCCAGTCCAGACAGCTCCAGTAGTACCATTAATGTGTGAACTACAACAATGACTCAGGACATAACATTGAAGTGTGAACTACAACAATAACGCAGGACATACCATTAATGTGTGAACTACAACAATGACTCAGGACATATCATTAATGTGTGAACTACAACAATAACGCAGGACATACCATTAATGTGTGGACTACAACAATGACTCAGGACATACCATTAATGTGTGGACTACAACATTAACTCAGGACATACCATTAATGTGTGGACTACAACATTAACTCAGGGCATACCATTAATGTGTGAACTACAACAATAACTCAGGACATACCATTAATGTGTGAACTACAACAATGACTCAGGGCATACCATTAATGTGTGGACTACAACAATAACTCAGGGCATACCATGAATGTGTGAACTACAACAATGACTCAGGCCATACCATTAATGTGTGGACTACAACAATGACTGAGGACATACCATTAATGTGTGGACTATAACAATGACTCAGGACATACCATTACTGTGTGAACTACAACAATAACTCAGGAAATACCATTAATGTGTGAACTACAACAAGGCCTCAGGACATACCATTAATGTGTGGACTATAACAATGACTCAGGACATACCATTACTGTGTGAACTACAACAATAACTCAGGGCATACCATGAATGTGTGAACTACAACAATGACTCAGGGCATACCATTAATGTGTGGACTACAACAATGAATCAGGACATACCATTAATGTGTGAACTACAACAAGGACTCGGGACATACCATTAATGTGTGAACTACAACAATAACTCAGGACATATCATCAATGTGTGAACTACAACAATAACTCAGGACATACCATTAATGTGTGGACTACAACACTAACTCAGGACATACCATTAATTTGTGAACTACAACAATGACTCAGGACATTCCATTAATGTGTGAACTACATCAATGACTCAGGACATACCATTAATGTGTGGACTACAACACTAACTCAGGACATACCATTAATGTGTGAACTACAACAATGACTCAGGACATTCCATTAATGTGTGAACTACAACAATAACTCAGGACATACCATTAATGTGTGAACTACAACAGTGACTCAGGACATACCATTAATGTGTGAACTACAACAATGACTCAGGACATACCATTAATGTGTGAACTACAACAATAACTCGGGACATACCATTAATGTGTGAACTACAACAATGACTCAGGACATACCATTAATGTGTGAACTACATCAATGACTCAGGACATACCATTAATGTGTGAACTACAACAATAACTCAGGACATACCATTAATGTGTGAACTACAACAATGACTCAGGACATACCAGTAATGTGTGAACTACATCAATGACTCAGGACATACCATTAATGTGTGAACTACAACAACAGTTTGTACTGTTACTAACCTTTGGCTGTATTCATATGATTCTGTACTTTAACTTACCTATGGCTGTAATTATAAGAGTTTACTATGTACCTAAACTTTGGCTCTAATCATATCAGAAAGCTGTGACTAAAATTTTGCTGTACTCATATCTGTTTGTACTGTAACTTAACTATGGCTTTAATCATAACAGTTTTAACTGTAACTAACCTTTGGCTGTGAAAATACCAGTAAACTGTACCTTAACTTAGGCTATTATCATATCAGCTTGTAATGTAACTTAAGAATTGGTGTTATCATATCAGTTTGTACTGTAACTAAAGAATTGCTGTAATCATATCAGTTTGTACTGTAACTAAAGAATTGCTGTAATCATATCATTTTGTACTGTAACTAAAGAATTGCTGTAATCATATCAGTTTGTACTGTAACTTAAGAATTGCTGTAATCGTATCAGTTTGTACTGTAACTAAAGAAGTGCTGTAATCATATCAGTTTGTACCGTAACTTAAGAATTGCTGTAATAATACCAGTAAGCTGTAACTTAACTTTGATGTCATTATCATTAATATAAGTTTATACTTTATTTGTGCTTGGACATTTTACACCAATGTGTACATGTTTGTAGTGATGCACGTAGAAGTAGTAACATCTGATGGAAATGTTATAGACACAGTGTCCGGATTGATGTGGTTAACTCTGCTAAAGGTATTTCCCGAGGATGTAAGAAACTGTTGTGTGATAAATCCTGAGAGATTAGATATTGAGAGAGCACCTTTAACTGAATCATGAGAACTCCATTAACTTTCAAGTATTAATTTGTGACATGAAAATTGTAGTCTTCGGCTTCTATTGATACATGGTTTCATGAAGTTTAGAAAACATACAATTGATTACATTCCGAGTCAATATATATTTTTCTGGAGCCGGCCCTAACTGTATAGTGATAAGGATGGTTGGTAATATGTACGATACATTTGTATATATAGTGTTGATGGTCGAGTCTGTTCAGTTGTATTTAATGAGTTGAAGCTATTTCCTTGATTTGTCTTCTGATAAAGTTTTGTAGTTTGAGATTCAAGTTAACCTGCTATGTTTATATTTCTGCATTGTATTCCTTCGTTTACAAACTTTACTTATTAAGTTGAATAAAATGCATTACAAATTGATCAATCTGCATGTTTATTTCTGATAATGATGGATGCTACAGCAATCATGATCATAATAATTGAAGATCACGCTCTCAGTGATGGTTTCACATATGGTGATTTTACAGATAACTGATAATTTCAGTAATGCAGTGATTTTACAGATAATGGATAATTTCAGTAATGCAGTGATTTTACAGATAACGGATAATTTCAGTAGTGCAGTGATTTTACAGATAACGAATAAATTTCAGTAATGCAGTGATTTTACATACAATGGATAATTTCAGTAATGCAGTGATTTTACAGATAACGGATAATTTCAGTAATGCAGTGATTTTACATATAATGGATAATTTCAGTAATGCAGTGATTTTACAGATAACGAATAATTTCAGTAATGCAGTGATTCTACAGATAATGGATAATTTCAGTAATGCAGTGATTTTACATATAACGGATAATTTCAGTAATGCAGTGATTTTACAGATAATGGATAATTTCAGTAATGCAGTGATTTTACATATAATGGATAATTTCAGTAATGCAGTGATTTTACAGATAACGAATAATTTCAGTAATGCAGTGATTTTACAGATAATGGATAATTTCAGTAATGCAGTGATTTTACATATAAGGGATAATTTCAGTAATGCAGTGATTTTACAGATAATGGATAATTTCAGTAATGCAGTGATTTTACATATAATGGATAATTTCAGTAATGCAGTGATTTTGCATATAACGGATAATTTCAGTAATGCAGTGATTTTACCAATCTGATTAAAATCATATGTTACATGGCTTCGTTAACTTCGTACTGCACCTGAACATCTGAGTGTGCCGCGGTCAGGGTCACGTTCAGGTGACCTTTATATTTATAAATACTCATTAAGTTTTGACCAATCAGAGACCCTCTTTCAAAAGGGCGCTCGGAGTTGTAACAAATAGGTCGGACATTGATGAGAATGATGCGAAAGTTATTTCAGATTGATCGTCTGAAACCCAAACAGAAAAAAGATATTCGAAGCTTTATTACAGAAGAAAGACTGAAACCCAAACAGAAAAAAGATATTCGAAGCTTTATTACAGAAGAAAGACTGTATGGCGGTGTTGCCTACGCAATTATTACCCAATGGGTACGTTTTCCTTGTCGTCGTAGAAACGTCAGTTCCCGCTGCCATATTTGTTTTGGAAAACTAATCTGTTCGTTTCCCCTCGCTATTTATCCATCAACCATGATATTCCAATTCGCTGGCAAACTTTTGCCAGCGCGCCTCTGATTGGTTCATCTAAAGGTCACTTGAACGTGACCCTGACTGGGCACATTCAGATGTTCAGGCGGAGCCATGTAACAGATGATTTTAATCAGATTGTGATTTTACATATAACGGATAATTTCAGTAATGCAGTGATTTTGCATATAACGGATAATTTCAGTAATGCAGTGATTTTACAGATAATGGATAACTTTGGTAATGATGATGATGACAACAATGATTTCACTGATGACAACAATGATTTCACTAATGACAATGATTTCACTGATGACAACAATACAACAATGATTTCACTGATGACAACAATGATTTCACTGATGACAACAATGATTTCACTGATGAAGACAATGATTTCACTGATGCTAATTTTATGATTGTGATGATTTGAGAGGTAATTGTTATTTCAGAGGTGATACTGATTTCACCAATGATGATAGTTATAATTTACTGTGATAAGTGACCACCATTCACCATTGGGATTCTATCTCTGATACTTGTAATTTACTGGTGAGGTAGTGTTTACCACTGGGGAAAAAGGTTACCAGTGAAAATGATATTACCCAGTAAAGTTAATGAATGATGTTCCATTGAGGTTAATGTTGAACTGATTGGCTGCCACTGTCAACCTCCTGATATGTCCGGACCGTACACTGATCATAGCTTTAGTGATTCAGTTCTGTCAGCCATAAAAGCAGGAACAGACACAAAAACACATTCCTATACGTGTTAAACTGGTACCTTAGGGCTTCACAATTAGTAAAGTTTGCTACATTATATATGGTCAATAGATAGCCTCATTGGACAAAAATGGGTTTTATCTAGTGTAAATATGGTATCTTTGACTATTGTGATTAATTAAAAGATGAACAGGTTGTATGGTAGAAGTTTCCACCTTTTGACACAGGTAAAAGGTGTGTACAGTGGATAAAGATGGGCCTGTTATCTATGGTAAATATGGTATTTGACTATTATGACTAATTACAGACAGGTTGTATAGTAGAAGTATTTACCTTTAGACACGGGTATATGTAATAGATGTGTATGGAGATGGGCTCGTTATCTACGGTAAATATGGTATCTGTGACTGGGTACAAATCACCTGGTGTGTATCTTGGGGTCAAACTAACGATTTATTAGTCCATGTTATAAAGGTTGAGTGGACAGAGAATGTTAATTTACATAATATATAAAACCACACCCTCTCTAGGTCTCACACAGACGGGAGACATCTGCAGTGATCAATTCCTTTAAACAATATGCAGATCTAATTTTAATGTCCTAACTGGTGCTTCTATAATTATATACACATTCCAGGTAATCTGAGATCACCTGTAACATTCGTTTTTAAGTTTTTTTGCAGTAACTATGATGACTACCTTGCTATATATACAGGTTAGATGTTCTCTGTGTAATAAACTCCCACTATTGTCAGCCTCCCTCCATACTTAGATTTTTGTCCTTTAGCAGTCCTCACGATGTGACTTGTCTCACAACAGTCCTAATGGTGACTCCTCCTGATCATTTCACATAGTGATAAATGTCTTGCATACTAAACCCTTATACATCGCATAAACGATGTAAAGACAATTCCTGGATAGGCATTGGTTTCTTCCTGTGCATGTACTGTACAGGAAACGTGTCTGACCCAAAGTTGGCTTTGATTTCCTGACTTTTTAGATATAGAGAGGCTGCTGTTTCTAGTAATAAAATTACTTCTTGATATGAAGGAGCCTCACTGAATCAGCTGTCATAACAATGTAATACTAAGAGAAAAGTCATAAATAGTACTTAACCCTGGACGGAACAGACTTTAGTGTTGACAATCAACTCCTTCAGACCTTGACCTAGGTTCCGGTAAGAGGATGTGGTAAATCAGGGTACCGGTGGTGACAGTGGGATCAAGTGTGTATTAATGTGATCCATAACATGGAGGACTGATGGAAGTTACAGGGTGTTACAATACATTCTTGACCACTGGCTGATGATAGGTAATGCAGGCCTAACAACTGGTCATTTCATCCTGTCTGTCCCAGAGGAGAAGGAAGTTTTCTTTAGTGGACATCCCAGAGAAGATAACAGCTGGTCAGCCTGCTCCAGTACCATACCGCTGCCACTAACAGGATTTGGTACATAGCTCCTACCACTGGAGTATCTAACCACTGGGACTATTGACGTGCATTCTAGCAGTCTTCAATTGATTATCAGGTTTTCATAGGAGATGATGCATGTGTGATTGTTGGTATTGTGAGGAGACATTAGAAATCCCTGTCTACCTGGAGTAGTAATATATCAGGACTAGTGGAGCCTTTGTCACCTACACAAGGCCGCCTCAGTGTTGTGTCAGACCAACTGTTCTGTGCATACCTGTGTATATCTGTACCTGTGTATGTCTGTACCTGTGTACCTGTGTATATCTGTACCTGTGTACCTGTGTATATCTGTACATGTGTATATCTGTACCTGTGTACCTGTGTATATTTGTACCTGTGTATATCTGTACCTGTGTATATCTGTACCTGTGTACCTGTATATATCTGTACATGTGTATATCTGTACCTGAGTACCTGTGTATATTTGTACCTGTGTATATCTGTACCTGTGTATATCTGTACCTGTGTATAACTGTACCTGTGTATATTTGTACCTGTGTATATCTGTACCTGTGTATATTTGTACCTGTGTATATCTGTACCTGTGTATATTTGTACCTGTGTATAACTGTACCTGTGTACCTGTGTATATCTGTACCTGTGTACCTGTGTATATCTGTACCTGTGTATATCTGTACCTGTGTAAGTTAATGTAGTGTGGTAATAATGGAAGTAAAACCTCGCCGCCGTTCTAGAAAGGGTAAGTACTCGTGTTAATGTTCTGTTGGTTTCAATGTTGACTATCAGTTATGGTTGATTTTGTGTTCTCCATTTTATCCCAGTATTCTAGCCTGTTTATGGTTTTCCACTCAGCTGTACGTGTATAAGGTACAAATGGTTAATGTGGGACAAGAATTAAAAGATGGATCTTTAACAGAAATAAAATATTTCTAAAGCAAGCCATGATGTGTTATAACTACAGTGTATATACATCATGTGAATCTTAAGCTGTTATACAGTTTGTCTTTTGGTTGGGAACATATTTGTATTGTCAGGATCATGTTGGGAATTTTGGGCTTTTTATTGTCAACTTCCTTTTACCGAAATAACCCAAATTGATTACATTTAACAAATTTTAAGAAATGCTATGCTCATTGGTGTGGAAGTTACTGTCTGCTTAAGCTTAATGACATACACAGGGAGAGATCAGCATGGTTTTGCTGAGTTGATATGGCTACAGGCAGAAGGGATTCTTAGTAGATGAGTGCCATGTGATCAATATTCTTAATTCATTATGAACCTTCACCCGGAAGGCTTATCACCCAACTTCTCTCTGATGTGTTATAGTGCTGATTTGTCTGGGGCTCCATACAAGGGGGCAGGGTTTTATCTTATTCACATAGGATTTCTTAAAGTGTGTGTGTGTGTGTGTGTGTGTGTGTGTGTGTGGGGCATCATCAACTTATATCCCCTATCTAAACAAACTTCCCTAGGATCTAGGTCAGTTTGTTTATCTAGGTACAATATCATCTTGTCATAAAATCCCTTAATTAATGTACATAAGGCTGTCAATTTAAATGTAGGTAAAACTGACCAATTAGCATCAAAAGGCTGTCGATTTAAATGTAGGTAAAACTGACCAAATTAGCATCAAATTTAGTGCTTATAAGGCTGACCAAGGGTTATAAAGTTCAGTGTATGGGCTGACCAATCAGTATAAAGTTAAGTCTGTAGACTGACCAATCTGAATTAAGTTCAATGTGTGGGCTGACCAGTCAGTATAAAGTGAAGTGTGTGAGCTGACCAATCAGTATAAGTTAAGTCTTTAGACTGACCAATCAGTATAAAGTGAAGTATGTAGACTGACCAGTCAGTAAAGTGAAGTGTGTGGGCTGACCTGTCAGTATAAAGTGAAGTGTGTGGGCTGACCAGTCAGTATGGCTGGAGTACATAGCTGGACTACATGGCTGGAGTACATAGCCTGTCTACATGGCTGGAGTACAAAGCCCGTCTATATGGCTGGAGTATATAGCTGGTCTTCATGGCTGGAGTACATAGCTGGTCTATATGGCTTGCTGGAGTACCTAGCTGGACTACATGGCTGGAGTACATAGCCCGTCTACATGGCTGGAGTACATAGCCTGTCTACATGGCTGGAGTACAAAGCCCGTCTACATGGCTGGAGTACAAAGCCCGTCTGTATGGCTGGAGTATATAGCTGGTCTTCATGGCTGGAGTACATAGATGGTCTATATGGCTTGCGGGAGTACCTAGCTGGACTACATGGCTGGAGTACATAGCCCATCTACATGGCTGAAGTACATACCCTGTCTACATGGCTGGAGTATATAGCCCGTCTACATGGCTGGAGTACATAGCTGGTCTACATGGCTGGAGTACATAGCCCGTCTACATGGCTGAAGTACATACCCTGTCTACATGGCTGGAGTATATAGCCCGTCTACATGGTTGGAGTATATAACTGGTCTACATGGCTGGAGTACATACATAGGAGGGCAGTGAAGCTGTTTAAAGGACGTGTTTCACGCTCCCGTATACGTGCTGTACGTAACTGCGACAGCCTATCCGCATCTAAGGAGCTGACCAACCTTAGGGCGTGAACTGGACGGGCAAGGTTATTTTGAATCTCCGAAGGCCCGGTAAGCAGGAGACTTGCCCCCTCAAGACGACAGAACACAGGCTTTGCCCGTGAAAAGTAGTCTATAAACTCATCAACCAACCTTCAATCTTTATTTAAACCAACCGCTGGAGTACATAGCCTGTCTACATGGCTGAAGTACATACCCTGTCTACATGGCCCGTCTACATGGCTGAAGTACATACCCTGTCTACATGGCTGGAGTACATAGCCCGTCCACATGGCTGGAGTACATAGGCCATCTACATGGCTGGATTATATAATTATGTCTAGCGCTTAGTTGGCCCTGGGTATTGATCACACTGCAATCTCCAGATTACAGCAGTAACTTAATTGGTCCCCACACACTCCTACAAATACAGATGTCAACATGCAATGGTTTCAATATCCTGACCTCAGGATCATGAGTAATAGTCATACACTTCAGCCCAGATATATATGAAATAATTGTTCTGGAAATTGGTTAACATTTCTTGGAATGACCCTTATATTTGATGTACATCATATGTGATATTTATTTAACACTCTGTAGATACGTGTTCTATAATCACATTTGAATTTTGTTGTTGTAGCATCTTCACTTTGAATTTATTTTGTTTCACAAAATGGCCTTTTGTGATTTATTTTATTGCTAAAACATTCCATTACATTTGAGTTATTCGTTTTTGTTTGATTCGTATGATGAAGACTTTGTTTATTTTGTCTTAAGCTCTAACACTGTAAACATGTTTCAGAATCTTACCTTGGATCATTGGTGGAACATTTACCAAATTATTTAACATACATGTACATAAAACAAAGAATTGTACTAGTTGTTAAACCTAGCACTGTCACAGCTGTCTGTTCACACACAATCCTACAATACTGCTTTTCTTACATATTTGTATTTGTGCCAGTTTATATCAGAATACTGCCTACATCTTTATTTCAACCTTGACAATTCCTCAACAGACATTAATGTCACATTATATAAAACAAAACAAAATGAATAAATTTTGATAACTTCTGTATGTTAGCTACACAGAGTTGTTTTCTTGGTTACAGTGGATAAAGCTGTGGTGCGTTATTCATACACGGCAGACAACGAAGACGAGCTGACCCTACAGGAAGGGGAGATCGTGACAATCCTAGACAAGGAACTGGAAGACGCAGGATGGTGGAAGGGTGAGGTGAATGGTCGAGTGGGTGTGTTCCCCGACAACTTTGTGGAGGATTTACCATCAGAAGAGGTAAGTTACTGACATTGTTTACTGCAATGGTGTCTTAGGGGGAGGGGAGAAGTGTGGGTACCTCCGGGACACTTGAAGCTTGTAAGGAACATGTTGACTGGGATAGCTCATCTAAAACCAGCTAGAAGGATATACCATTATTGCCAGTAACAATGAGGAATGTCTTTCATACAAGTATTTGTAAGGAAAAGTATATAAGTATAGATTTATATTAAAATCTTATTAAAGAAGAGTATCATTTAGATATGTTGACATACAAATCAACAAGACAAATAGACTTACATATTGATAATAATAAAAGCTTTTATTAACATGTTACACAGTTTTTACACAGTTAACACAAATTCGTAAAATCATGATACAACAATAAAAAGTGTCCAACCTCTAATTTGCTTAGGAGACACAACCATACATACATACATGAGTAAGTTATAGAAGAGATTATCTTCTTGTAGCTACAAATATTAATTTTGCTATATGAGAACAATTTGAAAGGTCCTAGAGCTACGTAAGGGTCGTAGATAGGACTTATGATAGGTATACATTAAGGGTCTAGGCGTGGATACATAAGGGTTGTAGATGTGGCAAATACGGGTCATTGGGACTACATATGGGTCATAAGTGGGGCTACTTAAGGGTCATTTGGACTACACAAGGATCATGAGTGGGGCTACATAAGGGTCATCGGGACTACATAAGGATCATGAGTGGGGCTACATAAGGGTCATTGGGACTACATAAGGATCATGAGTGGGGCTACATAAGGGTCATCGGGACTACATAATAGAAGAGATTATCTTCTTGTAGCTACAAATATTAATTTTGCTATATGAGAACAATTTGAAAGGTCCTAGAGCTACGTAAGGGTCGTAGGGAGGACTTATGGTAGGTATACATTAAGGTCCTAGAGCTACGTAGGGGTCGTAGATAGGATTTATGATAGATGTACATTGAGGTCCTAGAGCTACGTAAGGGTCGTAGGGAGGACTTATGGTAGGTATACATTAAGGTCCTAGAGCTACGTAAGGGTCGTAGATAGGATTTATGATAGATATACATTGAGGTCCTAGAGCTACGTAAGGGTTGTAGATAGGACTTATGATAGGTATACATTAAGGTCCTAGAGCTACGTACGGGTCCTAGATAGGACTTATGATAGGTATACATTAAGGGTCTAGGCGTGGATACATAAGGGTTGTAGATGTGGCAAATACGGGTCATTGGGACTACATATGGGTCATAAGTGGGGCTACTTAAGGGTCATTTGGACTACACAAGGATCATGAGTGGGGCTACATAAGGGTCATGAGTGGGGCTACATAAGGGCCATTTGGACTACACAAGGGTCATGAGTGGGGCTACATAATGGTCATTTGGACTACACAAGGATTATGAGATGGTCTACATAAGGGTCATCAGGACTACACAAGGATCATGAGTGGGGCTACATAAGGGTCATCAGGACTACACAAGGATCATGAGTGGGGCACCATAAGGGCCATTTGGACTACACAAGGATCATGAGTGGGGCTACATAATGGTCATTTGGACTACACAAGGATCATGAGTGGGTCTACATAAGGGTCATCAGGACTACACAAGGATCATGAGTGGGGCTACATAAGAGTCAGGAGTGGGGCTACATAATGGTCATTTGGACTACACAAGGATCATAAGTGGGGCTACATGACGGTCATCGGGACTACACAAGGATCATGAGTGGGGCTACATAAGGGTCATCGGGACAACACAAGGATCATGAGTGGGGCTACATAAGGGTCATTGGGACTACATAAGGATCATGAGTGGGGCTACATAAGGGTCATCGGGACTACACAAGGATCATGAGTGGGGCTACATAAGGGTCATCGGGACTACATAAGGATCATAATTGGGACTACATGAGGGTCATCGGGACTACACAAGGATCATGAGTGGGGCTACATAAGGGTCATTGGGACTACATAAGGATCATGAGTGGGGCTACATAAGGGTCATTGGCACAACACAAGGATCATGAGTGGGGCTACATAAGGGTCATTGGGATTACATAAGGATCATGAGTGGGGCTACATAAGGGTCATCTGGACTACACAAGGATCATGAGTGGGGCTACATAAGAGTCATCGGGAATACATAAGGATCATGAGTGGGGCTACATTAAGGGTCATGAGTGGGGCTACATAAGGGTCATTGGGACAACACAAGGATCATGAGTGGGGCTACATAAGGGTCATTGGTACTACATAAGGATCATGAATGGGGCTACATAAGGGTCATCGGGACAACACAAGGGTCGTGAGTGGGGCTAGATAAGGGTCATCGGGACAACACAAGGGTCATGAGTGGGGCTACATAAGGGTCATCGGGACAACACAAGGATCATGAGTGGGGCTTCATAAGGGTCATCGGGACAACACAAGGATCATGAGTGGGGCTACATAAGGGTCATCGGGACAACACAAGGGTCGTGAGTGGGACGACATAAGGGATGGTCGTGAAATGTAGTAGGTGATTGTGAGGAGAACATTCCATTTTGATGCTTATCGTTTTGTTTTTTTAACTGTAACATTGATGGCTTGATGCATTTCCTACTGATAGTATATATTTATACACAACACCTTCCAAGTACTGCCTGCACCTACAACCTGCTTCATTTACCCTGTCAAATTTATATAATCCTCCCCTCTGGCTTTAGCAAGCTCTGCTGGTTACTCTCAGTGATAGTTGATTCACATTTCATCATTCATGTATTTAAAAGTTAAAAAGGAAATGAAAATAACTAGTTTACATAATGTAAAATAATTCTTCTTAATGAAAATTGTACTAGTTTATTTAATGTTAAATTATTTTGAATAACATGACTTTAATTAACTCCCATGTTGGATTATGTCAGGCATGAGATCGAACTGTACACATAAAACTTGCCGAAAACATCATGTTATTATAATTACTGCCTATAAATTGTTGGCATGTTTGTGATGAGGGATTGGACATATAGAGAGAGAGTCCAGCCTGCCTGAGAAACCACCTGTATTAGGGAACTGCTTTGGAACTCGCCATCACCTCTATTTTCTATTGAACCGGTATAAGTTGCTGAGGGTAGTCTCTGAACACAAGTTTGACTGTATATCACAGACAGATATGTCTGTTCACCTTCAATTCATGTCACTGTGCATAACAATATAAATTAAAAAGGATATATATAAGTTTTGAGTTGAGAAAGTCACTGCCTTCATTCATTTACACTTGTTTGTATATTGATGATATGTGTCTCCTTATTTGTAACATGAAGAATGGCCTTTGAGGAGAAATTACAATGAGACATATCTAATTTCTCTATAAATTTGTGGCATGTATTAACCAAAACTGTAACCTTAATTTCAACATGTTAACAATCAATGTAATAACCTCTCACCCCTGTTTCTGCTGTGGACTGGCCTGATTATTAGACAGGAGTGTCTATTGAGGCTGTTAAGGGTGAGAGGGCAATATCTATACTTTTTGTGATTGGTTATTTCAGTCTGAGAGCATCTCAAAGCCATCTTCAGTGCATCACAACAATTTGCCTCCACAAGTATGTTTTTTGTTTGTCTTTTGTCACACAACTTAACCCCCCCCGTCTGACCTCATCATGTGACATCACATATCACCCTAACCTCGCCACAATGTCACATGCACTCACTGACCTCCGCACAATGTCACATGCACTCACTGACCTCAACACAATGTCACATGCACTCACTGACCTCAACACAATGTCACATGCACTCACTGACCTCCGCACAATGTCAAATGTTCTCACTGACCTCAACACAATGTCACATGTTATCACTGCCCTCAACACAATGTCACATGTTCTCACTGACCTCAACACAATGTCACGTTATCACTGACCTCAATTCAATGTCACACTACCTGAACTAAAAACAATGTCACATGCACACACTGACCGCAATACACCATCATATGCACTCATTGACCTCAATATACCATCACATCCACTCACTGACTTCAACACAATGTCACATGCACTCACTGACCTCATTACAATGTCACATTAACTAACCTTAGAACAATGTCACATGTTCTCACTGACTACACCTTAAGGTTACTTGTACCTTCTAACCGAGGAACAGGACTAGATACCCTCACTGACAACACCTCAAGGTTACTTGAACCTTCTAACCAAAGCACAGGACTAGATACCCTCACTGACTACACCTCAAGGTTACTTGTACCTTCTGTCCAAAGCACAGGACTAGATACCCTCACTGACTACACCTCAAGGTTACTTGTACCTTCTGTCCAAAGCACAGGACTAGATACCCTCACTGACTACGCCTCAAGGTTACTTGTACCTTCTAACCAAAGCACAGGACTAGATACCCTCACTGACCCTAGCATAAGGTTTAATGCATTTCAGTGTGCTGACCTTTGGTCACATTTGATCACAGAACATATGTGCCTAGTAATGAGTACAATTACATACCTTAGAAAAGAAGATTATGATTTTCACAGGTAAAATATATAGACTTATTCTGGCCTCATCACAGGTACACTGTTAAGTCTTCCATTGATACTATAAAGGGGGCAGGGGGAATCTGCCAGTCCATCATTTTGTCTGGGGCATATCCCATATCAAGTTCAAGTTCTTTATTACTTTAAGTCGGTTGACTTATCAGTCATAACATATATACAAAACAATACAGAGACAACATACAATATGATACACACACACATACACACACACACACACACACACACACACACACATACACAATTCAACTTTTATTCCTTAAGTTTGACAACTTATTGGATAACTATACTTTACAATAAATTACAAATGATATATACGTATATGTATTGTGCAGTCAACACTCATTATCACTCCCACATCATTATTGTGCATTCAACAATTATTAACGCTCTCACATCATCATGTACTCTGTCCCCTATGTAATACAATAACCAGATGTCCTTTGTCTGTACCTACCAACACTGTATCTTAGCCTGGTGCGCATCTTCATCCTGTTCTGTCACTCTTGTATGTGTTAATCAGATAAAATAACCCAATATGTATACTGTCACATGCAACTGACAAAGTAGAAAATGTTGCTGAAATTTGTTTCTTACCTTAATCCTGTTTTACTAAGGTTTATCCAGTTCCATCCATAAGAATACTTCACATAGCATAAGTTATATCTACAATTACCACACGACACACACCCAGCAACAGTTACCACATGTCAGCATTTTAACATTTAATTTGAAACATTTGACAATAATTATGTGAATGTCACGGATGGGAAGTAGTTTAATATAATATCCTGATGACGTTTAGTCATGCTTTCTTCCTTCTTCATACCCTTCTCTCCCCTATACGGACATTATAAACTGAACCATTGGTTAGAGGGACAATGTTATTAGTCATGTGGAGGGTGATGGAGGTCTGTCCAAAGTCCCTGTCCTCCCTATAGATATAAAAACCAATGACAGTGTAATATATATACTTGTGTGAAGTGTATAGAGGATGTTACTCCGAGGGTTATCCCCATGAACACCATTCAGAACTACTGTAAACAACCATGTGCACTAACTCTGACACATGGAAGTCAATATGGTTTTGAATTACAAAGATTCACCTTTCATATAAACTTCATGAATCTCAGCTGTTCGTGACCTTTTTTTCAGTTTATTATTTCCAATACCACACATTGACCTTCCACTCCTGGTCTTTATATATATCCCTGTTTAGTGTCAAGTTCTCCAGTATTAGCATCCTCATTCCCAGGTGAAAGCCCCACTTAAGCTGTGTATGTATTTAGATAAGTGTTAGTGCCGTTTTTACACTAAGTACGTATTTAGTAGGCGTTGTTGTGATCTCCACCTGGGATTTTGAGATGGGTATCGTTGGATGTTGTGTTTTATGCCGTATTGCATGAGGTACCCTATATGGCCAAGTTCGATCACCAACTTCAGTTATTCTGGTCTAGCTAGAATATGTTTGAACTCACTTTGGTAAAATGTAATGTGCATGTGTAAAGAAACACGTTTGCATTTTTAAACGACTATGGTATAACATGGTTTGCTTTGGTCAGACCAAAACAGCTAGTCATCATCTGTACCTATGTAATTATTTGGTTATTTTTTTTATAAGCATTTGTTGTTGCATTAGATGTAGCAGACCGCCCATGGTAAATGGTTGGTGATCAAGCTCGGCCTAATCACTGCATTAGATATGACGCCGACCATAGTAAATGGTTGGTGTTCAAGCCTGGCGTGTATCAATGCCTTGATGTCTTTAGGTTGCTGCATGTTGTAGAAGGCAACTGTTTGTATATTAGAATTGTCTATTTTATTATCAGTTTTATTTGTTTTAAGTTATCACATCTTTAAGATTTGTTTATTATGTATAATGATAATGATGATAAGAAATTTAGAACTGACATCCAAATATGCATGGGCATTGGGTAGTTTACCTGCCAAGTTCAAGTTAAACACTATAGATCAACACTGTTTATTCCTGACACCACTCACAAGGTACTGACCATAATGGTCAATCCAGAAGAAAGACAAAATCTATGGTACGGAGATAACAATGAGAAGGTATAATTTGGTGAAGACCAGGAAGTGATGATCATCTGTTATTAATTCCATCAGGGTTGTTGTATTAGTTGTGAAGCCGTTGTTGTTTTCGTGCACTCCTTCTGGTTCTTTGTCGTTTTCTGTGCTGTACAAGTAACATCTACAGCTTCTAATAGCTGGTTATTTTGAATACTAAGGATACAAAATACTCCATTCAACTGTTAAAGGTGGAAAGGTCATCGTCCTCCCAAATTGACATTATTTTCTGGTGAAAAGTTTATCACCACAAACAAAAATCTGTTATAAACATTATACCAAGGTAGACTTTAAACTAGCTACACAATGCTGTATTATTTCTGGAGAGAGAACCGTGTAAGATAGACTTAACTGGCTACACAACACTATTGCTATTTCTGGGGAGAGAACCGTGTAAGATAGACTTAACTGGCGACACAACACTATTGTTATTTCTGGGGAGAGAACCGTGTAAGATAGACTTAACTGGCTACACAACACTATTGTTATTTCTTGGGAGAGAACCGTGTAAGATAGACTTAACTGGCGACACAACACGATTGTTATTTCTGGGGAGAGAACAGTGTAAGATAGACTTTTAACTGGCTACAGAACATTGTATTTTTTTCTGGGGAGAGAACATTGTAAGGTTTTACTGTATACTGGGAACCTTTCACCCAGTCAAATATTAGCCCTCCACTGGTGAATCAGTATTTGCTCAATGTCAATTATGCTCTCCACACGTAATTGCTATATATGTGGTATGTTGGGTACTAATATTCGTTATTATGATAAATGTGCCCTCATTACAGATGTCGAAAAAAAGCGGGCGGAAAATAGTGGCAAAAAACTCAGTACTTCCTTATTTTTATCTGATTTCACTCGTAAGCCAGCTAACATCCGTCCTATGTAGTTGTGTATGTGTATCCGACTGATTACTTGGTCACAGAATGATTGCCCTTTTTTGTACCTCCTGACAACCAGTCCTCCCTTGTTCCATTTCTATGAAACTTGGTAACAGTTAATTACCATCCTCTGTCTTTCAACAACACTGTTCCAATAAATGAAAGAGGGTGCACATGATGTATAGAAGGAAAAAGGTGGGTATTTAACCTTTGACTAACAGTTCCAGTATTGTTTCAGTCAGAAGGTGCACACATGATGTCTCAAGGATGTGTCCTGCATCAGTCTGCCCTACATATAACTGCCATGTAAGACGGTGTACCAGCTAATTGCTCCGGGCTAATTGTGGCTAGAGGACACACATGTATACATTTTGTAGCTGTATTTAGGGGGAGTGACAACAGTCCGTCGCCTGACTTTATCACTTTCCCAGTATCTGGACAGAATGATATGTGTTACTGACAATGGTTCAGATTGTTCCTGGTCAGGATGTGATAGAAGGATTAGAAGTTCATAAGGATTAAAGGTCTAAAGGTCCACTGTTGATTTGTGTATGACAGGAGGTGATCGTAGAAGTTACAAGTCCACTGTTTGAGTTGTGGGGTGTGTTTCTGACAGAGACAGGATACGTCTTGCGTGTGGTACATCAGATTACTAGAGGAGGTTCACTACAACAGGAGATTCATTCAATTGTGATGAAGTTCTAAAACATCTGATTTACAACTATAACCCACAGCAAAACTTGTTTGAAGATCTGTTGTTTTTTTTCTCTCAGTAAAGTTCAGCACTTTCAGAAAATCTACAAAGTTGATGTGGAGGTTTGGAGACATGGACTAAGTTTCAGTGTATAGAACTGTGAGAAAAGCCCAATATGGAAAAGTGTGGAGAAAACGCGTCCAGTTATGACTGTATGATCAGTTATTACTGTAGTCATACTGTCAGGGAATAGGAATCCGTTCAACAAGAGACAGAGATCAGTGAACCTCTGATATAAGGGTATAAGGATAGAAATTATTCTATTACCATATCTGGAGCCAGCCTGAATTAGCATTGCTGGGGGCCTTGTGGAAGGAGTCTTGTGTGAGACACTGGAATGTATAGGAACTGTGTCGAATATCTTCTCCATACTACGCAACACGATAGTCTGGATACAAATTTTGTAAACCTGACAGTTTGTCAGATGTTCTATGTGACTTTGTACAAGTGTTCATTGTGATTTAATGTCATACAGACACCAGAAAGTTATGTATCAGTGAAAGACTGTTGTCCATCACTTGAGTGCTGTCTGATAGATCGCCATGTCTTCTGGTGAAGAATCCAGTCCAACACCATCCCGACCGGTCGTACCTCCTTACTTCCTCTTTCACCCTATACCCAGTTCTCTTTTACATCGTTTAGATTAACCAAACTGGCACCATATTAATGCTTGTAATAAATCGGTTTTATACTTATATTTAAAAAAAAATTCTCCTAAATGTTTGGAATAAATCGACATAAACTGGGTAAAAAGTAGATAAGGTCATGCTAGGGCTTTGTCCCCTGACACATAATGTCATGGGGAATTTCTCCTGCTTTAAGGTATTAAAAAAAAACACCAGATGACGTGATATTGGGTTATACACATGTCCTGTTTTTGGTAGAGTACATACTACATGTCTACAAGGTATATAAGTGTAGTGACTGTAGACCAGGAGGTCTGCCTGGTGAGATATCCGTGTTTGTACTGTACCCTCCCCAGGTATATAAGTTTATTGACTGTAGACTAGGAGGTCTGGCTGGTGAGATATCCGTGTTTGTACTGTACCCTCCCCAGGTATATAAGTTTATTGACTGTAGACTAGGAGGTCTGTCTGGTGAGATATCTGTGTATGTCCTGTACTCTCCCCAGGTATATAAGTTAAGTGACTGTAGACCAGGAGGTCTGTCTGGTGAGATATCCGTGTTTGTACACTCCCCAGGTATATAAGTTTAGTGACTGTAGACTAGGAGGTCTGTCTGGTGAGATATCCGTGTTTGTACGGACACTCCCCAGGTATATAAGTTAAGTGACTGTAGACCAGGAGGTCTGTCTGGTGAGATATCTGTGTTTGTACTGTACGGACACTCCCCAGGTAAATAAGTGTAGTGACTGTAGACCAGGAGGTCTGTCTGGTGAGATATCTGTGTATGTCCTGTACACTCCCCAGGTATATAAGTTTAGTGACTGTAGACCAGGAGGTCTGTCTGGTGAGATATCCGTGTTTGTACGGACACTCCCCAGGTATATAAGTTTAGTGACGGTAGACCAGGAGGTCTTTCTGGTGAGATATCCGTGTTTGTACTGTACGGACACTCCCCAGGTATATAAGTTTAGTGACTGTAGACCAGGAGGTCTGCCTGTTGAGATATCTGTGTATGTCCTGTACACTCCCCAGGGATATAAGTTTAGTGACTGTGGACCAGGAGGTCTGTCTGGTTAGATATCCGTGTTTGTACTGTACAATCCCCAGATATATAAGTTTAGTGACGGTAGACCAGGAGGTCTGTTTGGTGAGATATCCATGTTTGTACTGTATACTCCCCAGGTATATAAGGTTAGTGACTGTAGACCAGGAGGTCTGTCTGGTGAGATATCCGTGGTTGTACTGTATGGACACTCCCCAGGAATCAATAGAAACTCAAGGTGATCTGTACCTATATAGTCATCAAGCCAGCTGTATGAGGAATCAATATTTAATGGGAGAAATGCTCTGTCTGCTGTTGTTAGATAAACATGAATTATGAAATTTTATACAGAATGTACACATAATATTTTCAAAATAAGAAAAGAATTAAAACAACATAGTCCCCTTATATATCTATTCTCTCTCCAATTTTCTGCCAGCATTTTCACAGGTATGTATACATTGGCCATTGTCTTGAGGTATTCAAGTCTATCTTGTCATAACTTCCCCTATTATTTGACATTTTGTTATCCTTGTCAGGATTTTGTTTGATTTAACTGATCCGTTAGGTCTGTGTCCATATTTGTGTTTCTTTACATATATCATTAAGAAAAATTGTCAGATTCAGATCATTAAAGTATTGTACATGTACTTACAGTTTGGTTGCTTTGTATGCATGACAACTCACAGGTAACTAATTGTAGTTTCAGATCCTGTGGCCTGTCCAATGTTATATATTACTGTAGAATTTCCCAGGTCAATGCTAGGCCTGTTACAGCATGAGTTGCATATGGTCTGTGTGTCTGTAAAACCTCTAATGATGTATAACATTAATTTGTGACCTTTTTCTACAGAACTTGACCCTGTAAAACTAAATTACCTTCACAATGTAGAATCATATGTGACCATGACTTTGCCTGTATTACAGCCACGCCCCAAGAAGCCCCCACCACCGGGGTCCACAAAGCAGGCTCCCAAGCTGCCAGAGAAGGCCCCAGTGTCAGATACAGCCAAACATGACAAACATGACAAGCCACTTCCACCAGAGCCTGCTGCAGACAAAGCCAAGAAAAAGGAGGGTAAGTCCCAGCTAATTATAGACAAAGCCAAGAAAAAGGAGGGTATACGTAAGTCCCAGCTAACTATAGACAAAGCCAAGAAAAAGGAGGGCAAGTCCCAGCAAACTATAGACAAAGCCAAGAAAAAGGAGGGTAAGTCCCAGCTAACTCTAGACAAAGCCAAGAAAAAGGAGGGTAAGTCCAAGCTAACTCTAGACAAAGCCAAGAAAAAGGAGGGTAGGTCCCAGCTAACTCTAGACAAAGCTAAGACAAAGGAGGGTAAGGCCCGGCTAACTATAGACAAAGCCAAGAAAAAGGAGTGTAAGTCCCAGCTAACTCTAGACAAAGCCAAGAAAAAGGAGGGTAGGTCCCAGCTAACTCTAGACAAAGCTAAGACAAAGGAGGGTAAGTCCCGGCTAACTATAGACAAAGCCAAGAAAAGGAGGGTAAGTCCCAGCTAACTCTAGACAAAGCTAAGACAAAGGAAGGTAAGTCCCGGCTAACTATAGACAAAGCCAAGAAAAAGGAGTGTAAGTCCCAGCTAACTCTAGACAAAGCCAAGAAAAAGGAGGGTGAGTCCCAGCTAACTATAGACAAAGCCAAGAAAAAGGAGGGGAAGTCCCAGCTAACTTAAGTCCCAGCTAACTCTAGACAAAGCCAAGAAAAAGGAGGGTGAGTCCCAGCTAACTATAGACAAAGCCAAGAAAAAGGAGTGTAAGTCCCAGCTAACCCTAGACAAAGCCAAGAAAAAGGAGGGTAAGTCCCAGCTAACTCTAGACAAAGCTAAGAAAAAGGAAGGTAAGTCCCGGCTAACTATAGACAAAGCCAAGAAAAAGGAGGGTATACGTAAGTCCAAGCTAACTATAGACAAAGCCAAGAAAAAGGAGGGTAAGTCCCAGCTAACTTAAGTCCCAGCTAACTCTAGACAAAGCCAAGAAAAAGGAGGGTGACTTCATCTCTCACTCACTGATACTTGTCTCCAAAGGATGGTATAGAAAACCAGCTCACAAAAACTGATGCTGCCTATAGATATACATAGACATTAACACTGAGGGTTTCTATATATAAACATTGAGAAAAACTTTCCTCAAGACTTGTAATTAGTACAGCGATGGGTTTACTGATATTCAGTCGAAAACTTTATTCAGAGGTCTGTTTTTGTCTTGTCTATGAGCTGGATTGTTATTTATTTTCAGATATAGATATATATATGTTATCAAAATCAGCACCAAGTTTAACAATTTCACCCCAACATATTTAACTGGACTTGCCCAGTCTTTAATTTGGTAAGTTTCAAATATGACTTTAGGGGCGAATGGGTAAAACCTGACTGCATTACACAAATACTAAGTAGAGATGCTGTGGGGTGCTAATTCTATATATTTTACATGTTACAGAACAGACAGACAAACACCATCCACCAGCCATATCCAGTAAAAAGCCAAGTGTTCCACCTCCAGTGGGGCGCAAACCCATGCAGTCCAAGCCAATGGCCCCAGAGCCCAAGGCCCAGCGAGAAGAGCCCAAGGCCACTCCCAGCAAGGTGGAGAAGACAGAGACCCCTGGTGGTAAGATTAGGCTCTTATTGACAGGAAAGGAATTAAAGGACTGTATACAAAAAATCAGATGATTGTCAGATAAAAATTAAGCTACTTATTAGGATATAAATATATTCAGCGCAAGGAAAAATCATTGAGATTGCATCAACAGTCAGGTCCTCAGAATATTTCTATCCTGAAAGGCATTCATCTTGGAATTTGTTCTTGCTATTTCTCTGAAAATAAATATTTGTTCCCTATAGTACCACGTTTCATTTTGAGCATCCAGCTGCTTAATTAGAAGAAAAATATGGTTGCCAGAAGTCAGAAATCTCTCTTGTTCCTTTTTTTCTCATTAGTATTCTAGTAAGTAGATCAAACAACAGCGTCACTTTGAAATGACAATGTCAAACACATCAGTATGAAGTTTTGATCAAAAGTTGCCACAAGATATATTTAGAATTGACATGACTACATATCAATCAAGATTAGACATCAAACTAACATGGAACTACTGAGCATCCTAGGATGCTTGACACCACAATCCCTCTGGGATCTCTTGTTTACTGATGTAGGCATATGGTTGATACTGTATTATTGATTGTATTTTTCTGTATAGACACATTTGATAACATGGAAACATCTGACCGGTTGACCCACCTGACTGCCAGCAGAGCCAAAGGTCCAAGCAAGCGACCGCCATCACAAGTAATGTTCCACAACGTGAGTCCCCGAGTCCTAACTGCTGCTAAGCCTCACATCTGGGCCAGCTATATCTCAAAGTTTGTCGGATACATTATAGCTATATCTGGTAGTTTGATTTGAAAAGACTATGTATTTTGTCAAAGAACGTTGTAGATGGAGGGACACATTATAAGCTCACCGGGTCCGAAGGACCAAGGTTAGCTTATGCTATACCGTGGCGTCCGTCGTCCGTCCGTCCGTCAACAATTTCTTTAAACGACTTCTTCTTCTTAACCACTGATTTGAATTTAACTTAATTTGACTGGAAGCATCTCTAGGTGGTGGGGATTCAAAATTGTACAAATGGTGTGGCTGACCCCCCAGGGGGCTGAGGGGCGGGGCAAAAAGGGGGCAATTTGGCTATATTGCTTTAAGCGACATCTCCTCTGGAACTAAGAGATGGATATCAACCATATTTGACTGGAAGCATCCATAGGTGGTGTGGATTCAAAATTGTACAAATGGTTGGGCTGACCCCCCAGGGGGCTGAGGGGCTGGGCCAAAAGGGGGCAATTTGGCTATATTGCTATAAACGACTTCTTCCGTAGAACTATACCATGCAGTCATGATATTAGAATTGATGCTGGGGTC